ATACATACACGCATACTTACACACATACATATATCCAGACAGACAGCCAGCCAGCCAGGCAGACAGACGGACGGACGGACAGGCAGACAGACAGATATGCTCACGAACTCTCGAACCAATACACACACACAGACCCACAAAAGCACACGCACGTACGCACAAACAAACAAACAAACAAACAAATGAACAAACAAATGAACAAACAAACAACCAAACAAACAAACAAACTAACACATGAACAAGCAAACAACTAAACAAACAAAGAAATAAACAAACACACAAACAAACAAAACAAACAAACGAACAAACTGACAGACAAACAAACAACAACAAACCAAGCAAACAAGCAAACACATGTGCATGCACATGCACACACACACACACAGAGTCTTGCTCAAATGCATGCATCCGGGCTCCCCGACCTCCATGCAGACCGAGTCGGATGCAGCAGGTCCTGCGATTTCCGTCGCGCCCTTTTGCCCCAAACTGAACTCAGACTGTGTTCGATAACAGCAACAAAGACTGAGAGCGCATGGCGGTGAAAGAAGAGTAAAGTAAAACAGCTCAGTATGTAACGCAAGAAAATTCAGTAGAAACCTGAAGTTCCAATACTGTAGGCCATTGGCTTCTTTCAGGTGCCCGGTGCCTTCGCCCTCGGCTGCGCGCTGGAACTCTGGTGAGTCCAGAAACGGTATCTCCGCCAGTGGGCAAGCACGTTCAAGGACCTGTGGCAAAGACATCAGTCATGCTATTCAGGCTTTGCAAAGCTGGCAGAGCATCAGAAACCTTGCCTAAACCCTATAAGCCCTTACCCTTAAACCCTAAACCCTAAATGTCCTGAATTCTAACTTGACACCGCCTTCTGCGACACGAGCACTGCGGTATCCGTGGTCATCTGCATGGGCCCCAGATGCCTTCAACGCACCGAACTGAGATTGAGAGCTCTGTGGGGAGGCAATCTGCGACATGGTCCTCACAACTCCCGAAAGAGCCCAAGGACTTTTGTACTGTAATGGATTTTTCCCCTCTGAAAGCACCAAGCCAGGAGGGCCCCGGCCTGCGATGCTTGAAGTAGGAACCTGAGAAAACTCACAAAGATTGGTCAGGGCTCTCTAAACCCCCAAACCCGTAAGCCTAGAAGAATCCTAATCCCTGAGCCCGAAGAAGCTTCGAGTTCTCCGGATGTCATGCCGAAAGCGCCTCATGACGGGAGGCATCGTCAGAAACCAGTACTCAGTACGGTATCTGAACCACCGCGGGCAGGTCTGCACGACGTGTGCGCATGTGTGTGCTGTATGATATACATACGTAAGTGTACATACATACATACATACATACATACATACATACATACATACATACATGCATACATACATAGATACATACAGACATACATACATACATACATACATGCATACATACACGTTATACTATGACAATGACAGACTGCGGTCTCAACGTGGTACTAGCAGCCAGGTTGCGGGCATTGTCAACGACCAGAATGTCATGGATGTTGTGAGAACCAACTATGCAGGTGACGCCTCCAAAGCTCCAGATCACTGTTGAGAAGGAGCGCTTCTGTGCGGAAGCAAGATGTTCGTCAAGGTACTGCTATGGCATTGGAGTTTCTAGACGGAGCACACCTCCTAAGAAAAGAAACCATCAGTACTTGTTGCAAGACCGATCTAGCTGGAATGCTGATCATAAGGGCTCTGCTTTGGGAGCGCGTGAGAGTACTCAGCGTGCTTGCAGCAACGATCCAGGGCTCTGGATGAGCGCGCCTGATCTACAGCTCAGGAGCCATAAACCCTAAACCCCTCAACCTTAACCGAAAAGCGGCCCGAATGGTTGCGTAGCACGAATTGGGGCAGCCGCCTGTGCCGTATGGCCAGTACGTCGATGCCCTCGTGGTCCGAATGGTCGTCGTCGGGGCCTGCCCAGAACTCTTCCTATAGTCTCCAGTGTAGTTCCTTTTTTTGGGGTTGCCATATTAGCTAGATATATAGTTGGTTAAACCAGAAATTGAACTACAATGGAGATTATAGGTACTTGCCGACGACTACTACGTGTACTTTCTAACGTCCACCGCTATGAGTGCTGCTGCAACTGCTCGCCCTTCCTCTTCTTCCTCCTCCTGCTGACACCACCTCCTGCTGCGCTACCGTCACTGTTGCTGCACGACTACGCCTACTTGTCTTGCTGCTGCTGCCGCTGCTTTGCTGCTCCGGTGTTCTACTGCCACCACCAGCAGCACCCCGTGGCGTCACCAGAACAGCCATGAGAAAGGGAGATGCAGGCACCTCAACTCGCAAAACGATCGTTAACCTTGCTCCAATTGCAATGCTTGTGCTATCAGAAGTTGTCTAAATTAGCATCCCTCTTGAGGATCCCTTTAGAAGGGCACGGGTACTATCAGAACACGAACAAATGCCGGTTTTCAGCTACATTCGAGATCCGTCGCTCGTTTGCATGTCGCTTTCTTTCGTCAGCGTCGACTTATAGACTGAGTTGATCATTCTGGAGAGCCAGAACCCTAAACCCTAAACCCCTGAACCCTAAGCCTAAATCCCACACAGCCTGGTCCTTGGGCTGATGGGACTGGAACCATGCACCTGGCTCTTCGTTTAGAGCTTCGGGTTCTTGGGTTGGCTTTGAAGGTTCAGGCTTCAAGGTTCTTGGTATGAGTTTGAAGGTCTTCCCTAGACCCTCACCCCTGAATAACATCTGTTACATGTTAGATTCCCACGATTAAAGACCATACTTGGCTCCATGAATGGTGCTTTGGAGGGCGCCGAACCCCCAGAACCCAAATTTGAGATGTGTGTATGTTGGGGTAAATTTTGAGGACAAGAGGCCTTGGGCTAAGTTTGGGTTCAGCTCTCGTCGATGGAGATTACTTTGAGGATCCGGGGACTTGGCAAGCAAGGTCAAGTACCTTAATGGGGGTTACAAGTAAGTATGCGTATAGTTAGCTTGCTTCGTACGCCCCCCTAAACCCTAAACTTTACACCCTAAGCCCTAAACCGTTTCTAAGTCCCATGATCCTTTTTAAGGAAGTTGAGAGATGTTGCAGGCTGTTAGACTCGTTATGGAAAAATGTGAAGCGCTAGTAGCCGCTAGATTGATCCCAAATCCGCAACCCCTAAATCCTTAGCTCCCAAACCCCACTCCAACCCTCCAGCTGAGGCTTAAGACTTCAAGGGTTCTTTGGCATCGTGCTTGAGAGCTTCGAGATTAGCCTCCCGGGTTGGGTCTTAACCGTTCCTTAAATGGTTGGGTCTAATTCTGAGGCTCGGCTCTTGGGGCTTGGGTGAGTAGGAGCGTTGAGTAAGCTTTGGTGACGTGGATTGGTTGGTTAGGCCAAGGTTTCACAGCGTGAAACAACTCACGTGTAGTCTCAAAGGCTTGAGAACCCTAGATCCTAAACCCTAAATCCTAAACCCTAAATCCTAAACCCTAAACCCTAATTCCTAAACCCTAAACCCTACATCCCAAAGCCTACACCCGAAACCCCAAACCGCCCTGAACCCCAAGGCTGCCCAAGCTGCGAGACCGCTCAACCTCCCAATAAACCTCAGGAGCCCGGAACCATAAACCCTGCCTATAGTCTCCATTGTAGTTCCTTTTTGGGGTTACCTTTTAGGATCCTTAAGACAAAATTGGCTAAACCAAAAAAAGGAACTACAATGGAGACTATAGGTGAAGACCATAAACCCTACTTTTCGGGCTCTAGGAGTTCAGCTGCGGCCTTAAATTCGAAGGGCTTACCCTTTAATCTCCTGACGAAGACCTCTACATATTCGGAAACCTTACGGACCCCTCAAGGAATCCTTAAACAACCAAAACAGACCCAACAAGGTGGAATATGGTCTTTTGGGGGATTAGGGTTTGCAGGGCTTAGGGCTCTGGGGCTTTATGGGGTGTTACGTGTGCAAGGCTTTGCAAAGGGGGAGATTTCCCCGTCATAATCTTAGGTGTATTGCTTGATTAAGTGGCTTTGGAGTCTTTGGGTTACACCTGAAACATGCTACTACACTCAGCCCGGGTCAGTATCTGTGCGAATCTGGTGGTGCGAAGTCGTGTTGGAGACTCCGTTTCTGTTCGATACACTCGTCTACTCCATGTTGCCAAGCCTAGTTAGAGTTGAACTAGACCACGTCGCCTACAATGACACATTACCCTGATATAGACTTTGATAATCATCAGATCAGCTCTTGCGCGGTTCTGATAGCAAGGCTACAATCAGTAATCCAAAAGAGAGTATTTTTGCCTATTACTTCTTCAGGCCCCTCTATTAGCAACCCCGAGGTTTCGACCAAGGAACGGCTTTGATACAAACCCTAAACCCCTAAACCCCTGAACACCTGAACCCCTAAACCCCTAAACCCCTAAACCATAAACCCGTAAACCCTAAACCCCAAAACCCTAAACCTAATACAAAGACCCAGGAAGTTGCTATTGGTTGCTGGTTTTCGCCCCGAGAGAAGTGGGTTCCCACAAGGCCAGTAGGGTTTAGGGCTTAGGGTTACATAGGGTTTAGGGTTTTGGGCCCCTGCATTGTGTCATCTTCGAAGTCCCCTTTAATGAATGGAGAAGAGGAGCCGTAGCTGTGAAAAACCTGCTGCGGCTTTGAGTCGTAGTGGGAGATAAATCCGCCTTGGCTGATCTTTGCTGGTGCGCAAACCCTTCAACTCTCTAATCTCCATTGGTCCGTTGTTTATTAGGGTTTAGGGGTTGAGGGGCTTCGGGTTTAGGGTTATTCTAGGGGCGTGCAGCAAAAGGAGACCAGACTCAAGATGCCCGGGAGGGCTTCTTCGCGCTTTGGATCCGATTGCAACGCCGGGCTCGCATGTGTGGCAATGTAAACATCGTCGGATCAAGAAGCCTGAACAATTTATGGTCTGCATGAGAGAGAGAGAGAGAGAGAGAGAGAGAGTGTGTCACAGACAGGAGGTGAGAGAGGGAGCGACAGGCTTGCATGTATGTACATAACTTATACTAGACTTATAGTATGGACTCGCAGGCCAACCGAACGAACAGTACATGTGTACATATGGCAGTAAGACAATGCCAGCGAGAGAGCGAGAGAGAGCAAGAAAACAAGGGAGAGCGAGAGAGAGAGAGGGAGAGAGAGAGCGAGAGAGACAGAGAGAGAGATTTGCCGTAAACCCGAAGCCCTAATTCCAGCTGGACATCCCGATGACTTCTGTTCGACCTATACATCCGTCCATATGACTGCAGCCAAGAGCACCCGGAACGCGCTCCATAGGCGACGGATTCTTGAGATAGGGGCCCTTTGGGAACGACATGGCTTCGGCACTTTGCGTGTGAAACTGGTGAGACTCTACTTGTGGTCGTTCCCGAAAACCTTCGGGAGGCTTACGACGGAGATGAAGAGTCTCAAGCCTTATAGCTTTCAACATGTGACCGCAGCGCATTCTGGGTGCCATACTTGCGATAGAGCAAGCAGACTGTGCGAAGCAGAACTCCAAGTTTGTTGAGCTCCTGAACTGAACATTAAAGCCCTGAACATAAGCCTAAACACTAAACTCTCTAAATTAAACCCAAAAACCCGCTTGTCCATGTACTAGCGCCTCCGAGATTCTTAGGCATCTGAGGACCGGCAAACGGCAGGCAACCTACAAGGTTAGCGATTCGGCAAACCTGAAGAATGCCCTCTGACAGTGGCTAGGGTGCTGTGAGCAAAGGAGGCATAGATAGAAGAGCATGACGCGAAGGAGTGACCACCCTGCGCCCCACACCCACATGGGCTTAGGGGTCAAGGCTTAGGGTTTTGGTTTTTTGTTCCCCCACACCCCCGTGGCTTCGGAACTGGAGGGTCACCGTAATGGTGCCTCTCATGCTGCTGGGGCCACTACGCAATCGCAGGCAAGATTGCCGCAATCACGCCCGCAATCCAGGACCTTGGGCTTCAGCTTCACAAGACGGCCACAATGCAGGAAGATCATGCTGACAAGCATCATTCATATGCTCATCCTCATGTCTTCCTATCCTCATGACCAAGACTGTCATCATGATCAACAGCACCTTCATCATCTCATCATCTTCTTCTTATTCTTGCTAACGGCAGCCAGCATCGTCAGCAATACCGGCAGCGTCAACCTCAACACCATCAGCATTTTCATCACCACCATCATCAGCAGCTTCATTCTCCTCAGCATCATTACCCTGAGCTTGACCCTACTAATCATCAGTGCTGTCATCATCGTCATAGCTATTGTAATCGCTTTCAACATCACTATCACCAGCCGCATAATCATCACAATCACCACCACCACGAGCAGCAGCAGCAGCTTCTTCAGGCTCTTCATCGCGATGACACGTAAACCTGTAAGTGATCATGAGGACGTGCTTCACTGTATGAGCCACGTGCGCAAGGAAACGCACAAACCTCGGGTTTGGGCTCCGAACCTATATTTCGTCTCGGCCAGAAGCTTCAACCCCACCCCACCCGGCCCACCAGCCACCAATCCCTCAACAGTAAAATCCCATGGCTGCAATGTATGACGCCCCCGCCCCTCGGAAGCCCGGCAGGCAAGTGCTGAGCTGAGCACCCGAAAGATAGCAAAGTCCCCTGCAGGACATCATGTCGCAAACCTTGCTCAAGGCCACTTCTCATGCCGGGGTCTACATCACCACACATGTTATTGCAATGGTCGTTCTCTTTGAAACTTCTTTGGGTGCACGCGGCGGTTGCAGTCGGAGCAGCAGCAACAGCAGGAGGAGAACAAGGAGCAGCTGCAACAACAACGATAACGGCCGTAGAGTCGCCAGCTAGCTAAGAACAGCTGCAGGCACATGTTCTGTGTGTCCGTGAAGAGCCTGATAATATCAGGGTCTTAGTAGAACTGGGTTTAAAGTTTAAAGGTATATTCTACTCGAACTATACTAAAGAACCCTAATGAATACCATTCTACTTACGGAGGCCCCAGTATTCTGATGCGGATTCCACAGTCTTGCACTGCATCCGCTGGGAGGCCGGCTATCTTTGTAGAACTTCTCCTGGAAGGCGAGAACAGGGTTGGTTCAGCCGGGAGAAGGATTTCGGACTGGTTTTTCGGGTTTGGGATCCTCCACCCTGGGGTTTTGTGGTTTGGGATTCAGGGTTTACTGCTCAGGATGTGGATTAGAGTAGTGGTGTTGCAGGGAGTCTTGTCGGAACAGGGAATGAGGACTGTCGAGATGTTTTCCACAAGTTTCCGTGCGAATTTGAGTTCGCGGGTCTCGACCTTAAACCTTAAGCACTTAGCTACGGCCCAAAACCTCACAAACCCACCACCACTGGCTCGGATGGGATGGTACCTGCCGGGGTTGTGGGCTTAGGGCTGGCTTGGGTTTAGGGTTGAGGGTTTAAGGTTTAGGGTTTAGGGGTTTAGAGTTTAGGGTTTAGGGTCTAGGTTTGGGGTAAGGCAGGAGTTCAGAATATTGACACCGGCCTTGCTACCTGAAACCGCCATCATGCTCCCTACAGATTCCTGACCCTACCAAGAAACAGATAATATAGGGGCCTTAATAATTAGAATAGGGTTTTGGGGTATATTATACTGTAATTATAATAAGGAACCCCCAAAATAGTATTGGTAATTATTTAGGCCCCTATATTACGCTGCAACAGCGACAGAAAAAGCTAGGTACATAAGCAGCCGAGGCTACAGCTATTACGAGACTGCATCACATTGCCTCTTTTCCAATTACTCTTTAAGCCCGAAACGTGCGACCTCAAGCCTACACCTACTGCGACACAGTCTCCAGGCAGCTCTACCAAACGACGAATTAGCCAGACCATGACGATGATTCTGTGTAATTACAATCTGCATTAACATATTCACTCCACAGTTGCGACTGCGACAAGGAGTAGACACTGTGGGCGTGTTCATGAGGCCATGGAAACCTCAACGCTGAATCCTAGTCCTAGTTGGCATCTGGCCTGCTCAGCATCAGCGAAGCGTAAATCCAGCAAGTGGAGAATCCCTTGTTGAGACTGCCTGCCGGAAAGATGGACCACCTTCCCCACCTCCTCCCCTAAACCCCTAAACCCCTAAACCCCTGAACCCTAAACCCCAAACCCTAAACCCCTAAACCCCTTAACCCCTAAACCCATAAACCCCTAAACCCTAAACCCCTAAACCCTAAAACCCCCCAAAACTCAACTCCGCTCCGCCCCCCCCCCCGTCAGAACAAGGAAGGAACAGCTGTTGGAGCCTCTGGCTCTCGGACCCGAAACAAATCCCTGAGCCCTACCTTGAACTACCCGAAACCTACTTGTTCGTAGGGTCCCTATACAATCCATATTAGGGTTTAGAATAAGAACCTACAAAAAAAGTAGGTTATGGTAGCTTACGGTAACTTGTAAACCCCAAAAGCCCTGAGCCCTAAACCCCGAACCATAGGCCCTGGCCCTGTACCAGTCTCAGGGCAGGGGTTTCGGGCTTAGCGGGATTCCGGCTTACGACTTAGTAAGTATACATGTGTGCTATGCGTGCATGCATGCTTGCATGCATGCATACATGGTAAATTCGTGCATACATGTTATAAGCATTCTCGAGATCAGGGATATGCATGGGAAAGACACAGGTGCGCATAACCGCAAAGACATGCATGGACTTGTGCGCATACCCCTCATCCTAAAAATCTTAACCGCCAAACCCAAAACACTTAAACCTTGCAAGCGCCAAATCCAATACCCCACAACCCTGAGCCCTAAACAGTCAGATTCCCACACCCTGTAACTAAATACCCAAGCACCCTGAAGACCATAAAACCCCAAACCCTAAACACCTGAAGCCCCAAAATCCCACTTCGCTGATACCCTATAATACACAACTACAACCGACCTTAAACCATCTGTCTATTCCTCAAACCCCGTTACAAGCCGAGACTCCCCTGAAGCACTACATCCCACACCCTAAATCCCCTTCGTCTGAAAAGCCTGGAACCCTACACCCTAAACCCTGGAACCCTAAACCCTAAACCATTAAAACCCCTAAACCCTAAACCCTGAACCCTAAAACCAAAGCCCCTGAACCCTAAACTCTGGAACCCTAAACCCCACCCCGAACCGTCACTTTCTGTTCGCAAGGGAGGCCTCTGCGGTTCGCTCGCGTAAGTGCTGGGGTGCTCTGAGCCTGCCTGAGGCGGGCGCATGCTACAAAAGCACCACCGTGATCGATTTTGCAACAGAGTTCCTGTTTCGCAAGGCCAGTCGACGGACCCCCTTGTATTTTGGGCTTCTGCCGAGATGAGAAAAAGTTTTTGTTCGAAGGACCCCCGGCTTGTCTGAGTCCGTGGCCAAGATACGATTCAAACGAGTCTTACAAGTCTGCGTGGAAGTTAAGTTGCATCCAACTTAACTGCCACCCCAACCTTCATCATAAGCAAGCGCAAGAAATCAATGGTCTGGTAAACATGGAAAAGGATAATAAGTGAATGCAACGTGTGCTAGGCTAGGTGGGTCGACCTGGCACACCCTAAACCCGAAACCCGAAGCCCTGAACCCGAAGCCCTAAACCGCCATACTATACACCCCATATACCCCATATACCCCAAACCCTACAGGCTGCGCAGGCGTGCGCAGGCTGTGCCTCCGCAACTGGTATAACCTCAGCTGCTCTTGCAAACAGGTGAACTCCCCCCAAACCCGCCCGTGTAACTGAGCAGAATATTAACCTATGCCCAGGCTAAATGGTCGGAGTGGGGCTCTCTTTGGGGCTCTACAAGAGCTACTAAGACGGTTTAGGAACTAAGGTTTAGGGTTTAGGGTTTTGTTACTACAAGGCTTGTTGGCTTCTATAAGGGCTGTAGCTAGGGTCTACGAGGCCTTCATGAGGAGTGCTTGCGGTTTACAAGGTCTTGTCCAGGTACCCTACAAACCCTAAACCCTAAACCGCTGTGGAAATTGGAAGTCTTGTGATTCAGGAGCTTAGGGTCTTCTCTACTTCAAGGCTTCCGGGGCTCGTGAGTCTGGGGCCCTCAACCATAAACCCCACAACCCCTTTCGGCCCAATAGGACTTATGGAAGGCCAAAACCCTAAAGATGAGGGCATAGTCTTCAGGGCTTATGTAAGGCTTGCATGGAATGCAGGTCAAGGACCTCGAACCTTTCAGCAACTTGAGTCTTTACAGAACGTCATTGTACATGTACATATGCACATCCATCTATATATACATATATATGTTATGTATTGGCCATAGGTATCTTATCTGTTCTTCCTTTATTCACTTGCTTTTGTTCAAAGTTTGCACATCATATATTTTTTATGTATATAGATATAGATATAGATATAGATAT